AAATTGGGAGTTCACCCGACATTTCTCAGATAGCATTTCCCCAAAACACATGGGCCGCGGATAGATGATTATTGAGAACATTATGATGTTATTCCGTTCTTAATCCTAGTACTATCCGAGAAAATTCAGCTTGGCATAGGCTTTGGCATGCTCGGAGTAAGTTTTAATGAAATTATGTCTACAGACATTTTTAACGACGTACAGCAATTTTAATCACACTTCTAGAAAATCCCGTCAAGTCTGATGTAAGCAAGCTGTGAGGCCTTGCACATAATTGCCCCAGAAAGTTGGATTAAAACAACCACCTTCACATCTTACGGAATTTGAAGTAGCTGACATGACTGTAATTTAAAAAAATACTAATAAAACACGTGAACGGTACTAACCGCATCCATGCCAGGGACATCGGCATGCACATGAAGATGAACTTCAATCTCTTTGCCTCTTTCTACGGTTTCTGGGATGTATGGAGTGCACATTAGTTGGTGTCGGATCACCTGCTGTTCAAGACGAAAAAGAACCCACCAGTCAGCACCGTGACCAATGGAAAGCTCAAGATGTCCCTTGTACACTCTGCAGTATGGTGGTTCGTCCGGTGAGCTGGATGATCTCATTCTTGATGTTCTTGGTAGATCTATTGTCAGTGGGTAACAAAACAAAATGCGTTTGTTTAAAGATATGTAATTCCGCAATGGAGCCAATTTGTCCTCCAAACTGTTGCACCTATATGGTGACACCAAATGTTTCTATCAGGGATGGTGTCCTTGTGGAGCATAATTATTTCAAAAGGTTTTAAGTTTAATAAGCTTAAAAAGCGATATCTCTCCCCTTTCACCCGTTTCTCTTCATGGAAAATTTCAACAACACAATGGGAGTTATAAATTGTTCCGCGCTGTGATGACGACAATACCTAAAACTTGAACTACTATCCCGAGATAAATTAAAAAGCGTTTTAAGTCCACAATAAGAATTCAGTATTTAAGAGTCATTTTTTAGTCAAGCATATAGTCTGTTTTGCTTTCTATTATCTTTAATTGAAACGTAGAACATAACAGGGCATAGTATATATGTACTAAAGAAAAACAAATATATTGTTTTATTTTGCTTTATTATTTAACCGACCCCTAGGAAAGCAGTTTATTTGTTTAAAAAAAAAAAAAAAAAAAAAAAAAAAAAAAACATCTTTAAGTCATCTTAAGTCCACTTGGTAATTAATGACTTACTAAAGGGCATTAGAACATCGACTTTGTCTCAAACCTGAGACCTCCCGGTTACGAGACCAAGCTCTACCACTTAGCCATTTCGCAACTCCTCAGTGTAGTCCCGAAAGTGTTTTGCCTGGTTTGCTGAAAAAAAAATTCAGGGCATCAATTTTCGTTTACTCTAGCATAACAAGTAAGTTTCAACATCTTTCCAGATGGACTCACCGTTTAATGAATCCCATACATGGGAAACGATGTCTGGTGTCACTCGATCAGGGTTGATGGCCAAGGTAGAGTGCGGTATACTTATCTTAACAGGTTGGTGGAAGATCATGTTTGGAGGATCACATCTGATCCCGTAGCAGGCCACTGATTCACCATCTTGGATGTCAACACTGGGAGGGTCTCTTAAGAGGGTCATGGTGATCTTGCACGGATCATTCTGATGAACAGCCTCAGCAGGAATAAACATTGATACGCCATGGTCTTCTAGTTCGATGTCCTTACTTGTATTTCTTTCGACTTCAACAGAGACAATGGCAGGTGCTGATGGTTCATCTGTTGTTTCTTTCAAACATAAGGAAATGACACGATGATAAGAACATATATATATATATATACAACAAAGTAAATTTATATGCACATCGGGATAATCATTGGAATGGAAAAACCAATAACATATTAATATAGTTTTCATTTCAATCTTGTCTACACACAACAAATAACTTTATTACCATTTTCACAGTTATGTTAATTACCCAAACTCTGATATTCACTACTGGTTTCTGATATTTCAATTAGGGCCTATGCCAAATAAGTTTGGGCACAATCTCCGTTTATCTCTCGTATTTGGTCCATCGATATTAAGTGAGTAAGTTTTGTGTGTGATAAAGTAAAATCAAATTCCTTGTTCTTCGATCGTGATGGAAAATATGAAATGCAATCTTTAATCGTCGCTAGACATCAATCCGTGACTTAATGAAGGAAAACAAAATCAGAATCACTATTATACTACAGATGTTTTTGTTGGAAGGATGTTCTTACCTCGAAAAGACTGAATCTCCTCTAAGGACGGTAACCTGAAATTAATCATACGTTAAAAAAAAGTAATGTCTATGGGCTGTGAAAACATGCATTTGTTTCCACCAGGCGCGTACACAGGGAGGGGGGGGGGGGTTAACCCCCCCCCTCCCTTTGGTATTTTTTGTGTGTAAACCCCCCATAACCCCCCTAACAAACCCCCCTTTGGATTTTTTTTTTTTTTTTTTTTTTTTTTTATCTAATTAAAAAAAAAAAAAAAAATATTCCCATGGCTGACCTAAAAAAGGTGACCTTACCCCCCCCCCCCCCAACGGAGCGAAATGTCAAATTTCAAATTTCGAGACCAAAAAAAAAAAAAAAAAGTATAACTACTGTTGTACAATTCTGGGGATTACTTTTTAACAGCACCTCATTTTACCATGCATAGGGTGTTATATGAAAGACAATTACATTTCCTACAAGATGAGACCTCATTCAATAGCTTTCAGGCTGATTTGCTTACCAATTTTGAGCCAAAAGTGTGATTTTTTACCATTTTTTTCAAAAATATGAATTGCGCCAAAATACATATTTCTCCATATTTATTTGACTATTATGCTAACTGACTTGAAACTTGCTGAAAAACTGTTCAGCATCCTGGTTGACATCATAACCAAATTTCAAGTCTATTACTACTCAAACTAAAAAGTTATAGTGCTCTAAAGTTGACACTTTGTTATGAGCCAAAATGGCAAATTTGGTTGCTAAGGGCTATCTTCTCCTTAGCAACAGTAACATATTGGCGTGAGAAATAGAATATATCACGAGAAATTGCTATCTCCAAGCAGATGACTACTTTTGTAGGAAGAATGATGTCAAATGATGCATTTTCATCCTATTTTAATGATAATTATCGCTTAGTTCCCGTTGCTATGGTAATAATATGCCTAGCGACCGATATAAAACACATATTTTTGTTGTAAATCTAATATTTCCCATATCTCTGCTTATAAATAACATAGAGTTTTGATTTTAAGTGCTAATTTGCTGGGCCCAGGAATCCTTCGAAACACATTTCAATGAGCTAAACCTGACCAAAAAGCCGAAATGGCAGCCATTTTCCCAAATGGCTGCCATAAACCTGATAATTCCCAATATTTCTGCTTCTAAAGGCTTAGAATTTTAGTGCAAAACGTACATTTTCTGGGGATAGGAATCCAAAGACACACATTTCAATAAGCTAAACCTGACCAAATAGCATTATTCTGAGGATGTGTCAACTATATACCATGGCATGCCGTATGCCTAATGGATAACGTACATGTATAGGTCATAATTATTCAAGGACAATATCTTGGAATCCTGTGACGAAAGGAAGGATGCCTGGGCAGAAACAGTCAAAGCCCGTGTTCTCCATGTGCATGACCTTCATGCTGCAGATGCAGTGTACTACCAGGTCTGCAGTGTTAACTAATGCTGTGATGTCTCATGGAACAGACAACCCTGATTTCAGTTCGGAGTTTGTCCAGTATGCTGCAGACAATGTAGACCACAACATCCTTACCCGTGATGGTAACAATACATTCCATGGCATGGGGATGATTGCTGCCATAACCCCAGCCACCAAGACCAGCAGACATACCCTCAGGGGGCAGGTCATGCACCTCCAACGATATCTCCACGGTGGGACGAATTCCTTTCCATTACCACAAAGAAGAGAGCCGCGGTATGACAACACTGGCATACCGGAAGGGGAAAGGACCCAACTGCAGACCTTGATCTCCTGTGGAAGACATCCGTTATGTTCACCTCACCAAGACCGGCATGGTCTGGACTGATGCAGCTAGTGCATCATGGTGACCACCCCGGGAAATCATCGGTGATGTTTCTCCCAAAGATCGACATGAATCCCAGCGATGTCACTTGCGCTCTATTCCACACTGAAGTTTGTGTGTGAGCATGCTTGTCGCCATGGTGTTACGCCCACCATCACCTTTGACCAACCACTATGGTGGAAAGCCCTCATGATCATCGAGACTGAGCCCACAGGAAGTGTTTTGAATGACATAGTTTTGCGCCTGGGAGGCTTTCACACAGTTTCTTGGGAAGCAATCTATGCAGACAACGCGGTGGTTCACATGATGTCAAGCAAGGCTATTGCACGAGCAATACGGGGACATCTACTTGTTGATGCAGCACTGAACGCCTTGATTTTGTCAGACGCACTTGGTATGCCACTCCCTCAATCATCTGCAGATCCACATGAAGTGGAGGAGACCAATGAGGTAACAGTGTCACCAGATGATGAGCTTACGACAAACGGAACTGGAAACACTGATCTTGATGAATTTGCTGCCCTCTACAAGAATCTGATGGAAGGTTCTGTGTCTGCAGAGGAGTTCTGCCAAGCTGATGTTTTAACCAGAATCAAGAAGCTCCTCCGGGCCAGAACCAAATCCTTGAGGTCCTCTAGGACCGCCACACTTTGGCTACAGTACATGGAGATGGTTGACATACTACGGGAGTTTATTAGAGCAGAGCGCATTGGCAACTGGGCGTTGCACCTTGAAGCTGTGTCAGAAATGTTGCCCTACCTGGCAGCCTCTGGGCACAACCTCTACACCAAATCGATCCGCCTCTATGTGCAGCGAATGAGCAAGCTCAAGGATCAAACATCCAGATGTGTACCAACGATTCGAAGAAGGGTTCCATGTTGTCAGAAGAAGTAATCGCCTATGGGCTGGTCTGTCCGTAGATCTCACCATCGAACAGGTCCTAATGAGGAGTATGAAGACCAGCGGTGGCCTGACGAGAGGGCGAGGCATGACAGAACAGCAGCATCTCATATGGCTGCTCTCCGTGCCTGCCTGTGCTGAAGTCAACAATGCTATGCAACAGCTCACAGGTGTCAACTATAACTCTGGTGAACAAAACCAGGACATGACAAATGCTAGACAAGCACGTGACATGAAAGACACACATGCAGTTATCAGCTGTCTGAAAGAGAGATCACCCTTCAGTTCAGATCCGAGCTTGCTCAGCATTTTGACAGGGGTACATGCAACCAGCAAAGTCAATGTGGACTCATCAAAAACTGTTGGAACAGCAATCCTGACCAAAATGGATGGACAAATTGCTGCTGACTACACATTCAAGAAAATGTGGAGGAAGAGGGAGGATCGGGCCATCACCTTGGCTTTGAAATCGGCAGTAAAGATTGATGGTGAGGCAGTACAAGTGGATCCTCAGCTGCTTCTTGAGCGACTGACAATTGCTGCAAAAGCTCCAGAGGCTCTAGAGTCTGTGTTCAAATATGAGCTGTGCAGTTTCCCACCAGCTCTGTTTGATTCAACACTGCTGCTCCGACAGCCACAGAAGCCAGTGCTAGTAGATGCTATCTGGACACTCCTGACAAAGGATGCACCAGGAATCACAGGACAAGTCCACTACGTGTTGGGTGGTGGGGCACTAGTTCAGCGCATTCCATGGGCACGTGGCTCAACATACAAAGGTATCTGCACGCAATACACAGAGTATGTCACAAAGAAGTATGGACAGGCAACAGTCGTGTTTGATGGATATGATGGTACATCAACAAAGGGCACAGCACACCAAAGATGTGCAAGAGGGAATGCTGGAGCAACGGTGACGTTTGATGAAGATATGTAGGCCACAATGAAAAAGGAACAATTCCTGGCAAACAAGACAAATACGCAGCACTTTATCAACATGCTCAGCACCAAACTACGGGCAAAGAACTGCCAGACACATCATGCTGCAGGTGACGCTGATCTCCTCATAGTGCAGAAGGCAGTGGAGTCTGCAGCCACCACTGATACTGTGCTGATCGGAGATAACACAGATCTACTCATCCTGCTCTTCTACCACACCAACCTCGAGTCATGTGACCTGTTCTTTCAACCCGAGCCAAAGAAGAATGTGAAGAAACCGCGTGTCTGGAACATGAAGTCTGTCAAACAGCAGTTAGGCCCCGATGTATCACAGCACATTTTCTTCATGCACGCTCTCCTGGGATGTGATACTACTTCCCGCGTGTATGGCATTGACAACGGAGCTTCCCTTCACAAATTCAAAACCAGTGCGTACTTCCGTTAACAAGCAATTGTGTTTGACAGACCGACAGCGTCCACCGACGATGTTGTAGATCGAAGCAAGAGAGAAAGCCTTGGCATGCCTGTACAATGGGAAGCCTGCAGAGTCACTCAACGTGGCGCGACATAAGCGGTTCTGCTAGAAGGTCGCCTCCAGCATTTCTCATGTGCAACCCCAAAGTCTACTGCCCACATCAGCAGCAGCGAAACACCACAGCCTTCGTGTCTACTACCAGGTCCGGCAGTAGAAGGGCATTGCAGCTGATGAGCTACGACCAGATGACTGGGGTTGGCGGGAAATCGGTGGAGAAGACGTGCCCGTACAGACGGACTTGATACCAGCTCCGGAAGAGCTCCTCAAGATGATCCCCTGCAATTGCCAGACAGACTGCAGCAGTCTGAAGTGCACCTACAAGAAGCAGAGCATAGAGTGCTCAGCTGCATGTGGTACTGTAGAGGGTCAGCATGCACGAACTCAACCCAAGTTGCATGTGCCAGTGATGACGATGAATAGACTTTTTGAGGAAGATTGATGGATCGAAGATAGTAGTCTGAGGCTATGGTAACTACATGCAGTATTATAATAATTATGACCTATACATGTACGTTGTCCATCAGGCATACGGCATGCCGTGGTATATAGTTGACACATCCTCAGAATAATGCTGTTTGGTCAGGTTTAGCTTATTGAAATGTGTGTCCTTGGATTCCTAGCCCCAGAAAATGTATTTTTTTCACTAAAATTCTAAGCCTTTAGAAGCAGAAATATTGGGAATTATCAGGTTTATGGCAGCCATTTGGGAAAATGGCTGCCATTTCGGCTTTTTGGTCAGGTTTAGCTCATTGAAATGTGTTTCAAAGGATTCCTGGGCCCAGAAAATGTATATTTAGCACTGAAAATCAAAGCCCTAAGTCATCTAGAAGTGGAGATATTGCGAAATATCAGGTTTATGGCGGCCATTTTGGAAAATGGCTGCCGTTTCGGCTTTTTGGCTAGGTTTAGCTCATTACAATTTAATTAATTTGATTCCTTGTCCCTGGAAATGTATGTTTAGCACTTAAAATCAAAACTCTATGTTATTTAGAAGCAGAGATATGGGAAATATTAGATTTACAACAAAAATACGTGTTTTATATCGGTTGCTAGGCATATTATTACCATAGCAATGGGAACTAAGCGATATTTATCATTAAAATAGGATGAAAATGCATCGTTTGACATCATACTTCCTATAAAAGTAGTCATCTGCTTGGTGATAGCAATTTCTCGTGATATATTCTATTTCTCACGCCAATATGTTACCGTTGCTAAGGAGAAGATAGCCCTTACATGTAGCAACCAAATTTGCCATTTTGGCTCATAACAAAGTTTCAACTTTAGAGCGCTATAACTTTTTAGTTTGAATAGTAATAGACTTGAAATTTAGATATGATATCAACCAGGATGCTGAGCAGTTTTTCAGTAAGTTTCAAGTTGGTTAGCATAATAATCAAATAAATATGGAGAAATATGTATTTTGGCGCAATTCATATTTTTGAAAAAATGGTAAAAAATCACACTTTTGGCTCAAAATTGGTAAGCAAATCTATCCAAAACCTATTGAATGAGGTATCATCTTGTAGGAAATGTAATTGTCTTTCATATAACACCCTATGCATGGTAAAATGAGGTGCTGTTAAAACGTAATCCCCAGAATTGTATAACAGTAGTTATACATGGCGGCCATTTTGAAAAATGGCCGCCACGGAACTTTCCCCCACCAGGATTCCTTAAGACTTTTGATATGTTATAGAGGACATATTTCTGGGTATAAAACAGTTGACAGACTTTCTGTTGCAATTAGTGGGAGGTTGACCCCTTTTTTTCACGAAATGCCTGGACTATAATATAAACAAAATGAGGCCTTAATCTTAGCATTAAGCGTGAAAAGAAAAGAAAATACATATTTGCACCTGGTAATGCCGTGAAATACAATACACACAAAATAAAAACTTTAAAAGAACCACAGTTAGATAATATACTGTCTATCTCAGTAGAAGAGTAGAGGGAAAACAAAGATGAAGTAGTCTACATAGGACTTATAGCCCCTTAAATATTAATTGTAACAGTTGTCACATAATTTACAATAATTGTCCGAACAACACAAATTTCTTTAATTATGATCAACTGTTAAGATTCTTACTTGACTTTCTTTTTTGAGGATATGTCATTCCATAACCTAGTTTCAAAAGAGCAAAATGGAAATACGCATTATTTCCTTGCGCTTTGATAAATCTCTCGTCGTACAAGTGCCATGGCTGATAGGACGATTATTATTTTAGACCTGAAAGAATCACCTAGACAAAATCATTTGTTTGATCACTTCGTCCTTGGCATACTGGATTGGTAGGTTGCCCATCTCATCCTTCACATCTAACTTGGCTCCATTATCTAGGAGAAAGAACACTAAGGCCTTCTCAGGAGATAGTTCGCCCTTGTAATACTCATCAGAGATCTGGAACATATAAACAAATATACTTTTTGTATTAGTGGAACAGTATTGCCCATCAATAGTCAGGGTGGACGAGGATCATACGCATATAATTCAACGCTGCCTCTTGGAATCACAGTAGTGGAAATCTCTATTTTCGTTGTAAACGTCCCCACTCACACTGTCAAAATGCGCCGGGTATAAAGGCCGGTAAACCGCAATCAGCTGTTTAGGGAAAGGAATGCGATGCGTTCAAGCCACTGACCTTTACACCTGGACATTTCATTGGCTCACAGAACTGACTGCGTGGGTCCGCCATGTTGCACTTCCGAAAAATCGACGTGCGAGAGGGTTGGAATACAGATTTGTGTACAATTCGACTGCTGGTTCTGTTTCTGAACTTTGTTTTGAGGAATGTAATTGTTGAAAATGCCTACATGTGCTGCAATTAATTGCTCAAACCAGTATTATAAAGAATGTTGACGGACATTACATTCGAAAGTTCAGCTATGTTTTCTATGTATTTTAAAAGCAGGTTGGAAGTCGGAAGTAGTTGGCGTCTAGCGCTCTGTGTAGTCCTATGTGTTGTATTTCATGTACGTATCACGTATGGCATAATGCCAATGGAAATGCAATTCAATCTGATTCTGATCATTTCAATTGCTGATAATTCTATACTAAAATCTATAGCAATCAAATGCCACGCTATGTAATATTTTGTAGTAGATTTTGACTAGACTAAGTAGATTCAATTTCTAACGTTTAGTCTACTAGTCATAATTAATTATATTATCTTGTTAATTGTAACTTGAAATTGACAGTCACGATAACGTCTTAAACTAAAGTTAACAACGAGTATCTTACTTGAAAAGGGTATTATTTGTATATTTATCATATATTTACCCCATTTAACGTCATGCTAATACAGTATAAGTGACTCTATTGACGTTTATGCATACAAATATAATAAGTAATTAGTTAAAAATTCGAGTAGCATTGAGCTTATTTTATTTTCTCTGAATTGTATTCAGACTCCCACCATCGGTTTACTTTAGTACTAGTAGTCTTTATTCTTCTAGAACTGTGGAAGTATCTGAATTTCCTACATTCCTTAATTCACGGGTCACCTGTTATAGGCCCTATATATATATATATATATATATATATATATATATAAAACTGTACTACTACTACAAAGAAAGACAATTTTTTTAAACAGATGTCTAGATGTCATGATGATCAATTTAATTTAATTTAATTAGAAATACTGAAACACTTTTTACAGTCTGGAATAAACCTTCTGATGTAGTCTGTAGATGTACGAAGGGGAGAAATATTACGTATAGAACGAAAGTTAGAAAGACAGAGAGCAGATAGAAGAACGGATAATAGATATAGTACAGTTAGGGAGAGAGTGAGCTGTTGGAAAGACATACAAATATAGAATGAGAGAGCAGTTAGAAAGAGAAGGAGAGAAAGAAAAATACAGATTGAGAGAGATAGAGTGAGCAGTTAGAATGAGAGAGAGAGATAATAAAATGGTATACACTAGTGAGAAAGCAGTTAGAATTAGAGAAACAGTTAGAAAGAGAGAGAAATGAGGAGGATTGCAATGCACTTAAAAGTACAAAGAGAAGAAGAGGGTACAATATATTCAAAAATAATTGGCTGACAATATTAAAGTAAAATGAACATTAATATCGAGAGAGAGAGAGAGAGAGAGAGATGGGAGGGAGAGAGAGGAAGCGGGATAGCCTTCGAGGAGTTTGAGAAAGTGTTAGGGAACCTCAACTTGCATCGTGTACAATTAATTATGCATTTGTATGTTTTCTTTCTAGAGAATAATAAAACAAGGGGCTTGATTTAACTTCTAAGGCCTCTTATAATAATAAAAACTGAAGCGATCCCAGGTAATGCCAGAAAATATACAAAAATGGTATATAAACGGTCACTAATACAGCATTTTAGTACTTAACGTGTAGTGAGCCGTATCGCTCTTGGAAGTGTAAAATGGCCGCCGCGCGTGCGAGCCCACTTCAAGCGTTAGCACGGGAGGGAATGGGCGATGATCCGTCCATGTGTAGAGGTCAGTGGTTCAATCATGTAGTTGCCTATTGTATCGTTATGTGAGTTGAAGGCATGGTTCGCACCATGTAGGCAATGCCCTATGAGTCTGTGGAGCGTAAAGACTGGGTGAGAGTGAGCTGTACATAGGGCGTGGTGTGAGCTTGGAGAAACGTGTCAGGCTAATGGGTATTTGTTCTCAGAATTTACCTTATGCTAGGAGTCCACTGGGCCAGCGCCAGTTGGTGCCAGTTCGCGCCAAAGATTATGTGATTGGCGCGTAGTGGCTCGCTGTGGCGCCGAATTAATGTCCGCTCGGCATGTGTCGCCAAGTGGAATAAACTGGGTGCCATATGGCGTGCGCCAAATGCCACCCGGCTTGCTCCAAAATGTTGCGCCAGTTCGCGCCAGTTCGCGCCATTACACGGCCATTTGATTCCAAAATTCACCCTGTTGGCGCCATTCGCGCCAATAGACGGCTACTTTGCGGCACTTGGTGATTAGTTTGTGCCAAAGGTCGCCAAATTGGTTTGAATTTGCCGCCGCTTGGCGCTACTTGCCGACTATATAAATACCGGCCATCGGCTACCTGGTTCAGACCCTCCTCAGCTGCTGCATGAACACATCTCTACTAAATTGGCGCAACTTGGCGCGCGCCATTACATTCCAGTGGATTCCAATAGGCGGATTGTTTGCGCCAAAGGACGATATGTTCGCGCCATTTGGTGCCACTTGGCGGACACTTGGCGCTGATTGCTCGATGCAAGTGGCGCGACGAAAATTTCAAACATTTTGAAATTTTCTTGCCGCCACATTCAAATTTGGTGCCGTTATGGGCCACCACGAGCCAGTTGGGAGGCAGTTTGAGCCACTACACGCCACTGGGCACCTTATTGGCGACACTAGGCGCCACAGTAAATTGCATTGGCGCAAACTGGCACCAACTGGCGCTGGCCCAGTGGACTCCTAGCATTAAGATCCTTAAATAAGCCACAAGAGAGAACCAAGCCTCTACAGGACCACGCCAATGCCGCTCTGCAGTTTTTGGACCGCGTACATAGGAGATAACGTAAGTTCAAATATGACTGTTTGATTTTTAATACAATGATTTCCCTTATACATGTATGTTGACGTTGTCTGATAAAGTAATCATTTTGAAGATCTTAGAATTGAAGAAGAAAAGGTTAAAATTAATCAATAACTCTATAGTTTACCTTATTTTACCATGGATGCATATCTCTTGAAGTTAAATATTGAAAGGGATCATTGAATATGTTATGTAACGATGTTATGCATCAGTAAAAATAAGTGTGAAGTACCATATATCATGTAATTAGAGAGCTACAAGCTGAGGCTCATTTATGTTGACAGTTTTACATGGAATGACTATCGGAAGGTTTGGGAACAAGGCGATGGGGGTGTATACAAGTACATCTACTCTATCATGTATGTATATGTATAATCTGTATTATATGGCTTACGTTTGTTAGTTTTTAAGGGTTAACAAAAAGAGTAAATCCCTTTTTACAGCCGTTCCTTTGGGCTTTACCTGGACACCAGGCCGCTAGTAATCGCCCGAACCGGATTCTCAAAGTGGACAGCGATGTCTTATGTATACAGACTGAGTCAGTCGGACAACTTTAAGCCATTCAGTTCATGTGAACATCGGTGTTTCATCTCAACCAGCCTTTTCACGTATTTTCTTGTATGTATCAGGTGCCTTGACCTATAGTTCACTCCTGGTTATATATGTGCTTTAATAAAGAAGCTTAGTATATGTTGATTTTATAATCATACAAAATTTGTGCAGATGCTGTTATTTACGTGTATGTCTTAAGTGGGGACTGGTGGTGACGCACACAAACACACTCCCACACACCAACGTAATACATTTTATTGGGCCAATCACGGGTATCAGATTCTAGTATTCACTAATGGCCATAGAAGAGCAGGATAATCATAGACACCGCCACAACAAATCCATGTACACTCCAAAACTGACCAATATTTGGCCGTAATGTAATTTGTTGTTCAAACTCTCATCGGTTTGGTATCGGTCTCGTTGATATTACTGGGGTATGGCTCACCTTTGTTAGTGTGGCAGTCATTTGCACAATTTTCACGCTTTTGTAGCAGAGTTTAATGGCTTCATGGAGACACGTCTGGCCATCAGGTGACTGGACGTTGAGATCGGCTCCCTCAGAAACTAACTTCTCAATGATGGCGGTTTGACCGTGTTGTATGGCAAGATGGATATCAGTTAAATCATTCTGGGCGAGCTGGATTTAAGAAAAAAGGCAGCCAAATCTATGTGGACACAAGTACTGCCATGTGATCAATTAAATTCAATGATTCGAATAAGTTTTAAGTAAACATTAAACCTAGTCTATAAGGTCTATAAAAAACAGCTTTGAAGCCTTACTGGTGATACAGTGTATAATTACGGACGTTTATTATTGGTGATACAAGATCGAGCTGATCAAGTCGGAAATTTTGTTATATAAATATTCACTTAATTGACTTTCAGTAATTGTTATATTCATGCATGTATTAAATACATCAAGGTAAATGAATTCGACATGAATTTTTGTTAATGTTTTTACCTTGGAATATGAACGGTCGATGAATAGATCAGCGATGCTTTGGTACCCGAAGGATGTAGCCAATTGTACAGGTGTGTGTCCTTGAATGCCTTCTGTGTCAGAGCGTGCTCCTCCTGTCAGGAGGACTTTAACGACTTCAAGGTAACCATTCTGAACAGCAAAGTGTAAAGGCGTCCTACCATCATGATCTTCCTTATTCACCTCAGCTCCTTGACTCATGAGATATTTGGTGACATCAAGGTGACCATTCTGAGAAGCACCGTGTAATGCAGTTTCACTGTCATTGTCTTCCTTATTCACCTCAGCTCCTTGGCTGATGAGATATTTGGTGACATCAAGATAGCCACTGAAGGCAGCAAGGTGTAATGCAGTGAAACCGTCGTTACTTTGCTTATTCACATCATCTCCTTGACTTATGAGGTATTCGGTGACATCAATGTGACCATTCTGAGAAGCACCGTGTAATGCAGTTTCACTGTCATTGTCTTCCTTATTCACCTCAGCTCCTTGGCTGATGAGATATTTGGTGACATCAAGATAGCCACTGAAGGCAGCAAGGTGTAATGCAGTGAAACCGTCGTTACTTTGCTTATTCACATCATCTCCTTGACTTATGAGGTATTCGGTGACATCAATGTGACCATTTTGAGAAGCACCGTGTAATGCTGTCCTACCGTAGGTATCTTCCTTATTCACCTCAGCTCCTTGGCTGATGAGATATTTGGTGACATCAAGATGGCCACTGAAGGCAGCAAGGTGTAATGCAGTGAAATCGTCGTTACTTTGCTTATTCACATCATCTCCTTGACTTATGAGGTATTCGGTGACATCAATGTGACCATTTTGAGAAGCACCGTGTAATGCTGTCCTGCCGTAGGTATCTTCCTTAATCACATCAGCTCCTAGACTGATGAGATATTTGGTGACATCAAGATGGCCACTGAAATCAGCTAGGTGTAATGCAGTGAAACCGTCGTTACTTTCCTTTTCCACATCAGCTTCTTGACTGATAAGATATTTGGTGACACCAAGGTGACCCTCCTGAGCAGAAAGGTGTAATGCAGTTCTACCGTCATTATGACCCTCATTCACATCAGCTCCTTGGCTGATGAGATGTTTGGTGACATCAAAATGACCATTGAAGGCAGCTAGGTGTAATGCTGTTTCACCGTCATTATCTTCCTGATTCACATCAGCTCCTTGTCTGATGATATATTTGATGACATCAAGGTGACCCTCCTGAGCAGAAAGGTGTAATGCAGTTCTACCGTCATTATGACCCTCATTCACATCAGCTCCTTGGCTGATGAGATGTTTGGTGACATCAAAATGACCATTGAAGGCAGCTAGGTGTAATGCTGTTTCACCGTCATTATCTTCCTGATTCACATCAGCTCCTTGTCTGATGATATATTTGATGACATCAAGGTGACCCTCCTGAGCAGAAAGGTGTAATGCAGTTCTACCGTCATTATGACCCTCATTCACATCAGCTCCTTGGCTGATGAGATGTTTGGTGACATCAAAATGACCATTGAAGGCAGCTTTGTGCAATGCAGTGAAACCGTTATTACTTTCCCTTTTCACATCAGCTCCTTGACTGATGAGATATTTGGTGACATCAAGGTGACCCTTCTGGGCAGCAATGTGTAATGCAGTTTCACCGTCATTATCTGCCTTATTCACCTCAGCTCCTTGGCTGATGAGATATTTGGTAACATCAAAATGACCATTGGAGGCAGCTTTGTGTAATGCAGTGAAACCGTTATTACTTTCCCTTTTCACATCAGCTCCTTGACTGATGAGATATTTGGTGACATCAAGGTGACCCTTCTGGGCAGCAAGGTGTAATGCAGTGAAACCGCCGTTATTTTGCTTGTTCACATCACCTCCTTGGCCGACGAGATATTTGATGACATCAAAATGACCATTCTGAGAAGCACAGTGTAATGCAGTTTCATTGTCATTATCTTCCTTATTCACCTCAGCTCCTTGGCTGACGAGATATTTGGTGACATCAAGATAGCCACTGAAGGCAGCAAGGTGTAATGCAGTGAAACCGTCGTTACTTTGCTTATTCACATCATCTCCTTGACTTATGAGGTATTCGGTGACATCAATGTGACCATTTTGAGAAGCACCGTGTAATGCTGTCCTACCGTAGGTATCTTCCTTATTCACCTCAGCTCCTTGGCTGATGAGATATTTGGTGACATCAAGATGGCCACTGAAGGCAGCAAGGTGTAATGCAGTGAAATCGTCGTTACTTTGCTTATTCACATCATCTCCTTGACCTATGAGGTATTCGGTGACATCAATGTGACCATTTTGAGAAGCACCGTGTAATGCTGTCCTGCCGTAGGTATCTTCCTTAATCACATCAGCTCCTAGACTGATGAGATATTTGGTGACATCAAGATGGCCACTGAAGGCAGCTAGGTGTAATGCAGTGAAACCGTCGTTACTTTCCTTTTCCAAATCAGCTTCTTGACTGATAAGATATTTGGTGACACCAAGGTGACCCTCCTGAGCAGAAAGGTGTAATGCAGTTCTACCGTCATTATGACCCTCATTCACATCAGCTCCTTGGCTGATGAGATGTTTGGTGACATCAAAATGACCATTGAAGGCAGCTAGGTGTAATGCTGTTTCACCGTCATTATCTTCCTGATTCACATTAGCTCCTTGTCTGATGATATATTTGATGACATCAAGGTGACCCTCCTGAGCAGAAAGGTGTAATGCAGTTCTACCGTCATTATGACCCTCATTCACATCAGCTCCTTGGCTGATGAGATGTTTGGTGACATCAAAATGACCATTGAAGGCAGCTTTGTGCAATGCAGTGAAACCGTTATTACTTTCCCTTTTCACATCAGCTCCTTGACTGACGAGATATTTGGTGACATCAAGGTGACTCTGCTGGGCAGCAATGTGTAATGCAGTTTCACCGTCATTATCTGCCTTATTCACCTCAACTTCTGGGCTGATGAGATGTTTGGTGACATCAAAATGACCATTGAAAGCAGCTTTGTTTAATGCAGTGAAACCGTTATTACTTTCCCTTTTCACATCAGCTCCTTGACTGATGAGATATTTGGTGACATCAAGGTGACCCTTCTGGGCAGCAAGGTGTAATGCAGTTTCATCGTCATTGTCAGCCTCTTTCACATCAGCTCCCTGGCTGATGAGATATTTGGTGACATCAAAATGACCATTGAAGGCAGCTTTGTGTAATGCAGTGAAACCGTTCTTACTTTCCGTTTTCACATCAGCTCCTTGACTGATGAGATATTTGGTGACATCAAGGTGACCCTCCTTAGCAGCAAGGTGTAATGCAGTACTACCGTCATTAACTCCGTTATTCACATCACCTCCTTGACTGATGACATATTTGGTTACATCAAGATGACCATTCCGAGAAGCGTCGTGTAATGCAGTGAAACCGTTATTACTTTCCTTGTTCACATCACCTCCTTGACTCATGAGATATTTGGTGACATCGAAGTGACCCTCCTGAGCAGCAAGGTGTAATGCAGTTCTGCCGTCATTTACTCCGTTAATCATATCAGCTCCTTGACTGATGAGATATTTGGTGACATCAAGATGGCCACTGAAGGCAGCAAGGTGTAATGCAGTGAAACCGCCGTTACTTTGCTTGTTCACATCACCTCCTTGGCCGACGAGATATTTGATGACATCAAGGTGACCATTCTGAGAAGCACAGTGTAATGCAGTTTCACTGTCATTATCTTCCTTATTCACCTCAGCTCCTTGGCTGATGAGAGATTTGGTGACATCAAGATAGCCACTGAAGGCAGCAAGGTGTAATGCAGTGAAACCGTCGTTACTTTGCTTATTCACATCATCTCCTTGACTTATGAGGTATTCGGTGACATCAATGTGACCATTTTGAGAAGCACCGTGTAAAGCTGTCCTACCGTAGGTATCTTCCTTATTCACCTCAGCTCCTTGGCTGATGAGATATTTGGTGACATCAAGATGGCCACTGAAGGCAGCAAGGTGTAATGCAGTGAAATCGTCGTTACTTTGCTTATTCACATCATCTCCTTGACTTATGAGGTATTCGGTGACATCAATGTGACCATTTTGAGAAGCACTGTGTAATGCTGTCCTGCCGTAGGTATCTTCCTTAATCACATCAGCTCCTTGGCTGATGAGATATTTGGTGACATCAAGATGGCCACTGAAGGCAGCTAGGTGTAATGCAGTGAAACCGTCGTTACTTTCCTTTTCCAAATCAGCTTCTTGACTGATAAGATATTTGGTGATACCAAGGTGACCCTCCTGAGCAGAAAGGTGTAATGCAGTTCTACCGTCATGATGACCCTCATTCACATCAGCTCCTTGGCTGATGAGATGTTTGGTGACATCAAAATGACCATTGAAGGCAGCTAGGTGTAATGCTGTTTCACCGTCATTATCTTCCTGATTTACATCAGCTCCTTGTCTGATGATATATTTGATGACATCAAGGTGACCCTCCTGAGCAGAAAGGTGTAATGCAGTTCTACCGTCATTATGACCCTCATTCACATCAGCTCCTTGGCTGATGAGATGTTTGGTGACATCAAAATGACCATTGAAGGCAGCTTTGTGTAATGCAGTGAAACCGTTCTTACTTTCCCTTTTCACATCAGCTCCTTGGCTGATGAGATATTTGGTGACATCAAGGTGACCCTTCTGGGCAGCAAGGTGTAAAGCAGTTTCATCGTCATTGTCACCCTCTTTCACATCAGCTCCCTGGCTGATGAGATATTTGGTGACATCAAAATGACCATTGAAGGCAGCTTTGTGTAATGCAGTGAAACCGTTATTACTTTCTGTTTTAACATCAGCTCCTTGACTGATGAGATATTTGGTGACATCAAAGTGACCCTTCTGAGCAGCAAGGTGTAATGCAGTTCTGCCGTCATTTACTCCGTTAATCATATCAGCTCCTTGACTGATGAGATATTTGGTGACATCAAGATGGCCACTGAAGGCAGCAAGGTGTAATGCAGTGAAACCGCCGTTACTTTGCTTGTTCACATCACCTCCTTGGCCGACGAGATATTTGATGACATCAAGGTGACCATTCTGAGAAGCACAGTGTAATGCAGTTTCACTGTCATTATCTTCCTTATTCACCTCAGCTCCTTGGCTGATGAGATATTTGGTGACATCAAAATGACCATTGAAGGCAGCTTTGTGTAATGCAGTGAAACCGTTATTACTTTCCGTTTTAACATCAGCTCCTTGACTGATGAGATATTTGGTGACATCAAAGTGACCCTCCTGAGCAGCAAGGTGTAATGCAGTTCTGCCGTCATTTACTCCGTTAATCATATCAGCTCCTTGACTGATGAGATATTTGGTGACATCAAGATGGCCACTGAAGGCAGCAAGGTGTAATGCAGTGAAACCGCCGTTACTTTGCTTGTTCACATCACCTCCTTGGCCGACGAGATATTTGATGACATCAAGGTGACCATTCTGAGAAGCACAGTGTAATGCAGTTTCACTGTCATTATCTTCCTTATTCACCTCAGCTCCTTGGCTGATGAGATATTTGGTGACATCAAGATAGCCACTGAAGGCAGCAAGGTGTAATGCAGTGAAACCGTCGTTACTTTGCTTATTCACATCATCTCCTTGACTTATGAGGTATTCGGTGACATCAATGTGACCATTTTGAGAAGCACCGTGTAATGCTGTCCTACCGTAGGTATCTTCCTTATTCACCTCAGCTCCTTGGCTGATGAGATATTTGGTGACATTAAGATGGCCACTGAAGGCAGCAAGGTGTAATGCAGTGAAATCGTCGTTACTTTGCTTATTCACATCATCTCCTTGACTTATGAGGTATTCGGTGACATCAATGTGACCATTTTGAGAAGCACTGTGTAATGCTGTCCTGCCGTAGGTATCTTCCTTAATCACATCAGCTCCTTGGCTGATGAGATATTTGGTGACATCAAGATGGCCACTGAAGGCAGCTAGGTGTAATGCAGTGAAACCGTCGTTACTTTCCTTTTCCAAATCAGCTTCTTGACTGATAAGATATTTGGTGATACCAAGGTGACCCTCCTGAGCAGAAAGGTGTAATGCAGTTCTACCGTCATTATGACCCTCATTCACATCAGCTCCTTGGCTGATGAGATGTTTGGTGACATCAAAATGACCATTGAAGGCAGCTAGGTGTAATGCTGTTTCACCGTCATTATCTTCCTGATTTACATCAGCTCCTTGTCTGATGATATATTTGATGACATCAAGGTGACCCTCCTGAGCAGAAAGGTGTAATGCAGTTCTACCGTCATTATGACCCTCATTCAAATCAGCTCCTTGGCTAATGAGATGTTTGGTGACATCAAAATGACCATTGAAGGCAGCTTTGTGTAATGCAGTGAAACCGTTCTTACTTTCCCTTTTCACATCAGCTCCTTGGCTGATGAGATATTTGGTGACATCAAGGTGACCCTTCTGGGCAGCAAGGTGTAAAGCAGTTTCATCGTCATTGTCACCCTCTTTCACATCAGCTCCCTGGCTGATGAGATATTTGGTGACATCAAAATGACCATTGAAGGCAGCTTTGTGTAATGCAGTGAAACCGTTATTACTTTCTGTTTTAACATCAGCTCCTTGACTGATGAGATATTCGGTGACATCAAAGTGACCCTTCTGAGCAGCAAGGTGTAATGCATTTCTGCCGTCATTTACTCCGTTAATCATATCAGCTCCTTGACTGATGAGATATTTGGTGACATCAAGATGGCCACTAAAGGCAGCAAGGTGTAATGCAGTGAAACCGCCGTTACTTTGCTTGTTCACATCACCTCCTTGGCCGACGAGATATTTGATGACATCAAGGTGACCATTCTGAGAAGCACAGTGTAATGCAGTTTCACTGTCATTATCTTCCTTATTCACCTCAGCTCCTTTGCTGATGAGATATTTGGTGACATCAAAATGACCATTGAAGGCAGCTTTGTGTAATGCAGTGAAACCGTTATTACTTTCCGTTTTAACATCAGCTCCTTGACTGATGAGATATTTGGTGACATCAAAGTGACCCTCCTGAGCAGCAAGGTGTAATGCAGTTCTGCCGTCATTTACTCCGTTAATCATATCAGCTCCTTGACTGATGAGATATTTGGTGACATCAAGATGGCCACTGAAGGCAGCAAGGTGTAATGCAGTGAAACCGCCGTTACTTTGCTTGTTCACATCACCTCCTTGGCCGACGAGATATTTGATGACATCAAGGTGACCATTCTGAGAAGCACAGTGTAATGCAGTTTCACTGTCATTATCTTCCTTATTCACCTCAGCTCCTTGGCTGATGAGATATTTGGTGACATCAAAATGACCATTGAAGGCAGCTTTGTGTAATGCAGTGAAACCGTTATTACTTTCCGTTTTAACATCAGCTCCTTGACTGATGAGATATTTGGTGACATCAAAGTGACCCTCCTGAGCAGCAAGGTGTAATGCAGTTCTGCCGTCATTTACTCCGTTAATCATATCAGCTCCTTGACTGATGAGATATTTGGTGACATCAAGATGGCCACTGAAGGCAGCAAGGTGTAATGCAGTGAAACCGCCGTTACTTTGCTTGTTCACATCACCTCCTTGGCCGACGAGATATTTGATGACATCAAGGTGACCATTCTGAGAAGCACAGTGTAATGCAGTTTCACTGTCATTATCTTCCTTATTCACCTCAGCTCCTTGGCTGATGAGATATTTGGTGACATCAAGATAGCCACTGAAGGCAGCAAGGTGTAATGCAGTGAAACCGTCGTTACTTTGCTTATTCACATCATCTCCTTGACTTATGAGGTATTCGGTGACATCAATGTGACCATTTTGAGAAGCACCGTGTAATGCTGTCCTACCGTAGGTATCTTCCTTATTCACCTCAGCTCCTTGGCTGATGAGATATTTGGTGACATTAAGATGGCCACTGAAGGCAGCAAGGTGTAATGCAGTGAAATCGTCGTTACTTTGCTTATTCACATCATCTCCTTGACTTATGAGGTATTCGGTGACATCAATGTGACCATTTTGAGAAGCACCGTGTAATGCTGTCCTGCCGTAGGTATCTTCCTTAATCACATCAGCTCCTTGGCTGATGAGATATTTGGTGACATCAAGATGGCCACTGAAGGCAGCTAGGTGTAATGCAGTGAAACCGTCGTTTATTTCCTTTTCCAAATCAGCTTCTTGACTGATAAGATATTTGGTGACACCAAGGTGACCCTCCTGAGCAGAAAGGTGTAATGCAGTTCTACCGTCATTATGACCCTCATTCACATCAGCTCCTTGGCTGATGAGATATTTGGTGACATCAAGATGACTATTATAGGCAGCTTGGTGTAATGCAGTGAAACCGTCTTTATCTTCCTTATTTACCTCAGCTCCCTGACTGATGAGATATCTGGTGACATCAAGGTTACCCTTCTGAGCAGCAATGTGAAATGCAGTGAAACCATTCTTACTTTCCTTTTTAACATCAGCTCCTTGACTAATGAGATATTTGGTGACATCAAGATGACCATCCTGAGAAGCATCGTGTAATGCAGTGAAACCTTGCTTAGTTTCCCTTTCAATATCAGCTCCTTGGCTGATGAGATATTTGGTGACATCAAGATGACCATTTAAAGCAGCAAAATGTAATGCAGTCCTACCGTCACTAACTCCAGTATTCACATCAGCTCCTTGGCTGAGGAGATATTTGGTGACATCAAGATGACCTTTCTCAGCAGCACTGTGTAGTGCAGTCCTATCGCTATTACTTTCCTTATTCACATCAGCTCCTTGGCTAATAAGATATTTAGTAACATCAAGATGGCTATTCTGAGCAGCAAGATGTAACGCAGTCCTACAGCAATCATTACCCTTATTCACCTCAGCTCCTTGGCCAATGAGATAATTCGAGACACCAAGATGACCTTCCTGAGCAGCACTGTGCAATGCAGTCCTACCGCTATTACTTTCCTTATTCACATCATCTCCTTGGCTAATGAGATATTTAGTGACATCAATATGGCCAATCTGAGCAGCTAAGTGTAATACAGTCTCACCGCCTTCACCTACGGTATTTACATTAGCTCCTTGGCTGAGGAGATATTTAGTGACATCAAGATAACCTTCCTGAGCAGCACTGTATAATGCAGTCCTACCGCTATTACTTTCCTTATTCACGTCAGCTCCTTGGCTAATGAGATATTTAGTGACATCAAGACGGCCATTCTGAGCAGCACTGTGTAATGCAGTCCTACCTATATTACTTTCCTGATTCACATCAGCTCCTTGGCTAATGAGATATTTGGTGACATCAAGATGACCTTCCTTAGCAGCACTGTGTAATGCAGTCCAACCGCAATCACTTTCCTGATTCACATCAGCTCCTTGGCTGATGACATATTTGGTGACGTCAAGATGGCCTTTATGAGCAGCACTGTGTAATGCAGTCCTACCGATATTACTTTCCTGATTCACATCAGCTCCTTGGCTAATGACATATTTGGTGACGTCAAGATGGCCATTCTGAGCAGCTAAGTGTAATGCAGTCCTACCGATATTACTTTCCTGATTCACATCAGCTCCTTGGCTGAGGAGATATTTAGTGACACCAAGATGACCTTCCTGAGCAGCACTGTGTAATGCAGTCCTACCGATTTTACTTTCCTGATTCACATCAGCTCCTTGGCTGAGGATATATTTAGTGACATCAAGATGACCTCCCTGAGCAGCTAAGTGTAATGCAGTCCTACCGATATTACTTTCCTGATTCACATCAGCTCCTTGGCTGATGAGATATTTGGTGACATCAAGATGGCCTTCCTGAGCAGCACTGTGTAATGTAGTCCAACCGCTATTACTTTCCTGATTCACCTCAGCTCCTCGGCTAATGAGATATTTAGTGACATCAAGATGGCCTTTAT